AAAAAAAAAAAAAAAAAAAAAAAAAAAAAAAAAAAAAAAAAAAGTCTTCACTTCAGAAGGCTGCAAAGGAAAACTTGGGGGAGAACAGCCAATTTCCCAAGATCACATGATTAGCAAGTGGCAAGCAGGGATTCGAACCTGTATCTGGCTAAGTCAAGACCCTGGTTTCCCAAATACGTGGTGGGATTTCAGGGACTAACACTGCCTCACTCACCAGAACGTCAGGGCTACAGGGACAATATATCGTCTAATTCTGGCCCTGCCCCCAGGCCCCTTATAGGTCTGGCTGAAGGAGAGGCAGGTGGACCCTTGTTTAGTCCCTTAGCCTGTGGCACCCCCAGGCCACGTGCTCACATTTCTCTCCCACAGGATGAGAACATGGTGAGCTTTATCAAGGGCGGTATCAAGGTCCGGAACAGCTACCAGACGTACAAGTGAGTGGGGGCTGGTGTATGGGTGGCTGGTGCCATGGTACCTGCTACCATGTCCCCTCGGGCTCTGTGGGAGGAGAGGACTGGCTTGGAGCTGGAAGCCTTGAATACTACACTCAGGGACCCCCAGGCCTCAGTCTTGTGGAGTAATAGTCCCCAGGTTTTCTAGCTGTGTCTGTTCATTTAGCCTTCTGAATACCTGCTCTGTCCCTGTGCTAGGGGAAAATAAGACCCAGACACAGCCTCACCTTGGGGAAGAAGGGAGATAGGCCCAAGAATAGTATTTTAGGGACAGCAGCAGAACTCCTACAGATCTGTAAAGGCCCAGTCCAAAGGCCACTTTCCCAAAAAGCTTTCCTTGATCTTCAAGTTGATGGAGATGCTACATGCATGCATGTGCACACACACACACACGCACGCACAAGCTCCCCGAGAGACAGCTTCATTTCCATGCAAGAAAGAATGAAGACCGAGTCCAGAGCACTTTTACCCAGCATGGTTCCATAGTCCCATATCTACAATCCAAAATCAAATAAAGCTCTTTGAGCCCAGTTTGCTTCCCCTATATTTTACATTAAAACGTATTTCCTGTTAAAAGTTTACTTGGGACACCTCACGCTCATCTCCCCCGTCCAGTGTGGCCGTTTTGCTGCAGAGCTGGGTGTTGCTCCTCAGTGTGACGAGGTGCTGCTGGGGTGCAGTGCAGTGTAGGACGCGGACACTGCGTTACCTTGGGGACCTGTGCCAGAACTGTCGAGGACAGGCGGACAAGTGTTCTGGGGTCTCCATTCCCGAAGCGCACACCTGGTCAGGCCGCCCCACCATCTCCAGGCTCCTCCTGCTCTGGTCCTCCTCCCTGGAGCTCTCCTCTGCCCTCCTTGCGCCTCTCCCTGCACCCTCTGCCTCAGGCCCTGTGCCTTCCCTCGGTTCTCCAGCTGGCTCCTCCTCAAGGCCTTCTCTGTCAGGAACACTATACCAGGCCGACCCCAGCTCCTCCTCCAGGTTTCTGCTCAGATGTCACCTCACAGCTTAAATGTCACCTCCTCCAAGAAGCCTTCTCGTTTCCAACTAGGTCAGGCCTCCGAGTTCTCCTCCGAGGCTCTCATTACCCTCACAGTGACTCGATGGGGGATGTCCTGGGGGACTGTGCCTGGGAGCTCTGCTCCCTTTGTCTTGCGGTGGCTGCAGAGAAGCCATTGATGGAGACCTTGAGATGCTCCCAGCCCAGGAAAGAGACAGGCCCCTCTTTAAAGCCTCTGTGCTGGCCCAGGCGGGCTGGGCTCTGCACTCAGTGCAGTTGGTGACCAGGAGAAAGAGGGTCACATCCCAGCCAAGTGAACTCTGGGAAGCCCACCTGAGTGAGCGGGTGTCGTGCCCCCCACCCCCAGCACTGAGCAACTGATGACGTTTTGGTTGTGCAGGCAGGGACAGGATGTACTGACATTAGGTGTTGAGGACCCTGCACTGTATGGGATGGTCCCTTCTCCCCACTGAGGAATTCTCCAGCCTGGCAGGGCACACCAGGTCCAGGCTCGCCGCCTCGGGCTCCCCGGGTGTGGTTGGAGTGAGAATTGGTGCTTCCCTCAGGGAGCTGGACAGCCTGGTGCAGTCGTCGCAGTACTGCAAGGGGGGAAGCCACCGGCACTTTGAAGGAGGGGTGAAGCTTGGCGTGGGAGCCTTCAACCTGGTGAGTGGGAGCCGCCCGTGTGGGTTCCGGGAGATCCCTGCTCCTGTCGCCTCTCGCGTGGTCACTGCTGAGCCGTCCCAGAGGGGCAGCTGGGGTAGGTGGAGGGTGCTGGAGCGGGTTCCAGGGACATCTGCCTATCAGGTTGGTAGCTCAAAGTCCCCTGTGGTGGGGCTCATCACAGCACTGGAATGCAGTGTACCAGAAATGAAAGATTTTTCTGCCCCGGGAAGGTAGTTGCTAGATTCTTGTCACTGGCAGAAGAAAAAGGCCTGGAAACAACTGGTGACCCATGGGGGACAGAGAGCCACGTCCTCTTCTGGAGGAGCTGGGGAAGGTTTGCTGGGGAAGGGAAGTGAGCAGAGTCTCCAGGTGGCGAAGGGCGCTCCGGGCAGGGGGAACAGCGTGAGCTGGGATGAGGCCTCCGAAGCCCTGTCAACGCTCAGAGGAGGGGGAGCTGCTCACAGGAGCGCGACCAGAGACCTTCTGAAGCCTGTGTGTGTCGGGGGAGGTGGCAGCTCTCTCCCTTGGGGTAGGAGCTCCCTGCCCCACTGTGGGGCGCCTCATGTGCCCACAGCCTCTCGTTCTGCAGACCCTGTCCATGCTGCCTACGAGGATCCTGCGGCTGCTAGAGTTTGTGGGGTTTTCTGGAAACAAGGTAAAACACCTGCCTTCTAGTCCCTTCGACCTGCTCAGCTCCAGGACTGGTGCTGGGCTGGACAGGGTGGGGTGGAGGAGCTGCAGTGCCTGGTGGCCACTCCTCACTCGTCCCCCTCAGTGTGTGGCCCTGGACAAAGCCCAAACCCTGTTGGTCTCGGTCTTCACTCCAGCGGCATGGGCCTGTGATCGCTGCCTGGGCCCTCACAGGTTTGGGGGAAAAGGGAGTGTGAAGAACAGCTCAAGGGGCCTCGGGTCATCTGCTCTGGGCCTGACAGGTGTCAGACACCTCCTCAGTCAAGACTAAGCACGTTCTGCCCTCCAGGACCAGTTTTGGCATTCCCACCTCATCCCGGAGATGCACACGGAGCCTTCCTGTGCAGCAGACCTTGAGTTGGGGAGGCAGAGAGCTTAAACCTCTGCTGAGGGCAGGAACATGTGAACCAACCCCCCTTGAAGGCAGCAGGTCAAGGAGGGCTCCCTTGTAGCAGAGGCCTGGAGGTCAGGGCCTGGGTCCGTTCCAGTCCTATCCTCTTTACCCTGACCCCCAGCAAGCCTCCCATTCCACTTCCCTCAGCCTCCTTTGAGGAAAACCAGGGGCTTGGTATAGGCCAGGTGAGCATTGCTCAGATGGGCATTGGCCCTTCTGGTATCTGCCATTTCATGGGCCTCTGTATTATTGTTATTCGTATATTATTTTTCTCAAAAGCAACTAGTAAATTTTACTTGAATTTATTTAAGAGAAACATTACTACGCTCAAACCCATAATGTTTGCATTAGAAAATAATCATAAAGATAAGTAATACAAGAGCCACACAATCTTATGAACTAGATGATGGGTCACCACAGCTCAGCTAGAGGTTGCTTCTGTCTGAGAAGGGAGAGCAGGGCCAGGCTTCCCCTGACCCTCTTTGGGAGGACAGAGGACTGAAAAGGAAAGTCCCTTGTGTGAGGCTGGACGCCTGGGGTCACCTGTCCCTAGGCCCTGAAAATCTCGGTTGTCATCTGCAGCCCACCTCAGCTCCAAAGTCCCTTGAGTTTAGTTTTCTACAGCAGGGCCTCGGGGGGCCAGTGGGGTCTCTATGCTGATGGGAGGGAAGGCACCAGGAAGGACCAAGGTGGGACAGTAACCCTAACTGCAGCTCCAGCCTGGGTCTAGTCTTTGTCCCAAAGGCAGAGTAGGGGTGAATATGAGATGGGTCAGGCTTGTGTTTTAGAAGGAATGAGTACTGTGGAAGACAGGAGCAGAGTGGCTCTGAGGCTCTCCCCCAGGAGCCTTCCTGGGTGCCAGGCCTCGTGGCCCCATCCTGGTGGGAACCAGTGAGAGGATCATCTGCCTCTTGTCCTAGATCCTCCTGCCCAGGCCCATGGCTGGCAGGCACACACAAGGAGCCACAGAGTGAGGCTGTGGAGGCGATGGGGACACGGGCGAACCGGCCACGCCTTAGCCAGGTTTGGCAGCACCGGGAGGAGCTGAGCACAGAGAGGCAGCCCCTCACTATGGACACAGGCTGGGAGTGGCCACCCTGGCCTCCGTGGTTGCAGATTCTAAGCCCAGCCATCCCCCGTCTCTGCTGTGGCGGCAGGGCCCTCACAGCTGCCTGGTGACCTCCCAGGCCCGGCCCTCACTGGGAGCCTCAGGCTGTCCTTTCCCCCAGGACTATGGGCTGCTGCAGCTGGAGGAGGGTGCGACGGGCCACAGTTTCCGCGCAGTGCTCTGTGTCATGCTGCTGCTCTGCTACCACACCTTCCTCACCTTCGTGCTCGGTAGGAGTCCTTGGGGCTGGTGGGCTCTAGGGGCGATGGGCTGCAGGCCTGCTCAGGCCCCTGGCACTGGGTTAGAAATAGCAGAGCCATAGCCACAGTCCTCTCATCTGTGAGGGGATGGGTGGTGCCCATCCCGAAGAGAGCTTGAAATGTGGTCCCTGGGGTTCTTCGGGACAGACTTGGCAGATACTGGTTCCTGGTTATTGAGCCTGTTGTGTGCCAGGGTGAAATCTGCACTATCTTGTTTAATCCTCATGTCACCCGGAGCTAGGAAGAATTATGACCCCCATTTTTCAGAGGGGCAGTAGCTTACTGGAAGGAGGGGAGGAGCTGGTGGTGACCCTCTTGCCACCTCCTCAGGTACTGGGAATGTCAACATCGATGAGGCAGAGAAGCTGTTGAAGCCCTACCTGAATCGATACCCCAAGGTGAGCCTACCCCTCGCCAGGCACCTCAGCCCTTACGCGCCCTGTGGACCCGCACAGATTCTCACATGTGTCACTGCAGGGTGCCATCTTCCTGTTCTTTGCCGGGCGGATCGAGGCCATTAAGGGCAACATTGACGTGGTGAGTGACGGGGGATCCTGGGGGTCTCCTGGTCCAGCAGGACGTCAGGCAGACAGGCATCTACAGGGACAGAGCAGGTGGGAAGGGGGGAGCCCTAGAGAGAGCAGGGGTGGGAGGGCACTTCTGACTGAGGCAGCCTGGGAAGGTCAGAGAGGCCATTGTACTCGTCCTCTAGGACTTTGGCAGGCTGTGCAGGGCAGTGTTGCTCCTGGAAAGGGCGAGCTCGAGGGAGGCAGGGTGAGGAAAGGCTGCTTGCTTAGGGCATGGTGATTAGGTGGACCCTAGTGAGCAGAGTGGAGAAGCCGAGGGCTGAGGGAGTCATAGAAAGGGATAGGGATGGTGAGCATCATGGTCCCGGCACCAAGCCAAGGCCCGCTATGGACCCCAGTGTGGAACTCGGGGTGTCCAGTTAGCCCAGGCAGGACAAATGTCCCCAGTCCTGGGAACCCACAGAAACTACCAGAGCCTTGGAGTTGGCTGTGAAGCACAGTGTCACGTCACTGTAATATTAACACCGTCCACTGCCTGTTGCCTCCTCCAGTGTAGCTGTGTCCCGCCTTTTCATTGAATGACTCCAAATCTAGAGTCCGAGGGCAGTGGGCCCGTGGCTTTGAAACGCAGGGTATAGAACCAGGACTGGCTCCCCGGCCCCACCTGGGTCCGCATGGGGCGGTGCCCCCGTGTGCTGGAGGCCAGGCTGCTGCGGGGTGGGAGGTTGCAGAGGACACAGAGGGTAGCCGGGTCCCAGTGGGCAATGGCCAGGCTGACCAGCTAGTTCCCACAGGCCATTCGGCGGTTCGAGGAGTGCTGTGAGGCTCAGCAGCACTGGAAGCAGTTCCACCACATGTGCTACTGGGAGCTGATGTGGTGCTTCACCTACAAGGGCCAGTGGAAGATGGCCTACTTCTACGCTGACCTGCTCAGCAAGGAGAACTCCTGGTCCAAGGTAGATGGGGGTGTGGAGAGGCCAGGCCACACCCACATTGGCCATAAGTCCCAGACCGATGGCCAAATCAACCTCCGACAGCACAGATGTGCCCCCTGGAATTGAAACAGAACCTTAGGCTCTCACAGGATTCAGGGTTGGAAGGCACTAAAATCCTCAAGCACCTTAGGAACTTTACTTCTGTGTGTGCGAAAGTCAGAACCGGGGCCTTGTACATGCTGAGCTCACCCTCTACCACTGAGTTGTGATCCCAGTTATAACGTGTTGGTTGAGACATTTATTGAAAAGGGGCAGAAACATGAGTCATGTTCGGGCACATGCTGTCCAGTAGAATTGTCTGCTGTAGTAGAAATGATCTGTGTTTGCACCATCCCAGTATGGTAGCCACTAGCCGTAGGCATATTCAGCACTTGAAATGTACAACTTGAAAATTTCACATCTTAAAATTTTTGTTAATTTCAACTGATTAAACTTTAAAGTAGCTGCGTAAGACTAGTGGCTATTGCACTGGACTGTGCCTGTGTGGAACACGGCCTCATTGGCTCACAAAGTCTAGACAAACCTGACTTCACGTAGGACTAGATCTAGAAATTCAAAACACATCACCGTCTTGCCATCAGTGACTGTGTTCTCTTCTGTGAAATCTTTTTGTGCCAGCAGATTCTCTTTATGTGACAGAGTGACCACAGGCCGCCCCGGTACTCGTCTTGTCCTTGGCTTTAACTGCAGTCTCACAGTTGAGCCTACTGGCCTGGCTTAAGTCCTTTGTCAATGACTGGAAGAAAGACGGGGGAAGACGTCTCATGAGCTGAGAGTAGGGAGAGTAGTGGTTCTGTAGAAGGAAGATGAGACATGCCTGGAAACAGCACATGCACGTCCATGTGTTTGTGTGCACAACTGTGTGCATGTGTGTGTGTGTGTTTAGGGATTAACAAGATGCCACATAAGCAAAAGAGGTGCCCCACCCACCACAGATGAAACTTGCCACGAAAGTGTTGAATGGCAAGGATTAGCTATTTTCATCATAGCAGGAGGCTTAGAATTATCTAGCTCATTAGAGAGCATCTAAGCTGGCACATAGAATGTGTATCTCCATGACTTTATCTCTGCTCACAGTAGACATTGCTAATCGATCCTGGCACCCTCTCCTTTGAGCCTGGCTGTAACCATGGAAGCTTTCTCTGCAAAGCATTCTAGGCACCGTTAAAACCCATCTGCCCTGGTGCCTGTCAGTGGACCTAGCTGTCATTTGCATCTAGTCTTTGTTTTCACCCCCGCTGTACCTTCTTGTGGAAGTCCCTCCTCAGTGCTGTTGCTTGGGGACCAGGGGAGAGTTCCCTGGGGCAGATGGGGCTCCAGGAGGCTTTCATGGGGCTCTTACTATCTAGCACTTGCCATTTCCTCCACAACACACCCAATGAGGCCAGAGTACAGGTGGTACTCAGGGGTTTGGAGAAGATGCTACTTTCCCAGTCCCCACAGCTGTTGGTGACAGACCTGGACAGGAAGACAGTTCTGAGAGACTCAGAAGTCTCTGCTTTTCCCTTGCTGCTTGTCCTTGGGAGGAGGTGGGTCTGCCTTGCTGTTGACTGTGTCTGCTCACTCAGGAATAGCCCCATTCCTCATCTCCCACTCCCAACAAGAACAGAGCCTCAGGAACCTTTCTGAACTAAAAGTGACTGCCCAAGACTTACGGTGCAGTGAGGCAGACAGCTGGACCCCCACATGGGGAAGGGGAAGCCTGGGTGTCTGCAGGGCTCCTCTGAGGAGCAGCAGGGGAACAGGCCTCCCGTGTGTCAGGGCATCTGCTGTGAAAGCAAGCTGTGTACCCGGCTCCCTCTGCGGCGCTCCTCACAGGGGTTACAATGCCCTGAGTTGTGGGGCCTCATCCCAGCACTTGGCTACCATGGCCTCCGTTGGCTTCTAACTCTCAGAGGGGAGTGAAGGGGGATCCTAGGAGCACAAGGGCAGCCCTGGGAGTCAGGGCCAGCCAGGAGAAAGGAGGGTTTCAGGAAGACCAGACCCCTGAGCTGAGTGGAGAGTGTAAGGTGCAGAGAGGCAAAGCACGAAGACCGGAACCAGGGAACAACAGGAGCACCAAGGTTCTGTAGTGCCAGCATGAGGGCTTATGGGGTAGGCATGCAGCGGGACAGGAGGGACCCTCCTCTGAGCTGGCAGCTGCTGCAGGACAAGCCTCATCTGCCTGACACAGACTCAGGGAGCAGAGCCCAGGAAGTAGAGATTGGTGATCAGATAACCCTGGGCGACTGGGCTTCCACTGGAGGGCAGCACCCATTTTCTGTTACCTGCTGGTGAGCTGCATGCCCACCACTTAGGTTGCTGCATCCATTCTGTCACCCAGTGGCCCCGCAGAGGGGAGCTGTCTGGAGAGAGAGGTGGGGAATGAGTCTGACAGCGGACAGTGGAGTCCTGGGCCGAGGAACAGAAGCCCCTGTGTGGGACAGGGGGGCGAGGAGGCATGGGGTGGAAGTGGCAGCCTGGCATGAGCCAGGAAACAAGTTTGGGGCAGGTCAGAAGGGCCTCTGTGGCTCTTTGGGCTTTATTCTAACAGCAGGGGTGGGAGGAGCCTTTGAACTCTTGGGTTCAGGCTTATGCATGCTGAGCATCCCCATTACCAGGTCACCTTCTTGGCCAGGAATACAAGAGCGGACGTGACCCTGCTTGAGGCTCGTGTGCTAGTGAGGAAGGAGACAGGAAGCACTCAGGCAGATGTACAGCGTACCAGGGTCAGGTTCTGTTGTGTGGGCAGCTGGGGAGGCTGCAGGATACGTGAAGGGTGAGGCCACATGACTGCCTGGAAGAAGACATCCAGGCTGTGTCTGGGAGCAGCTGGAGGCCAGCATAGCTGGACTTTTCAAGTGAGGGGGAGACAGTAGGAGAGGATGTGGGAGAGGAGGCTGGGGGAAACTGAGTCTCAGACCATGGTGTGGGAAATGGCCTGGAGGGGTAGAAGCAGGGGCAGGGAGCTCAGTTAAATTATACAGCTGAGGACAGTAGAAAGACTCGGATCTTGGAGCAAGTAGGCAGTGGCGGTAAGGTAACTGAAGGGAGGATCTGGTTGCTTCCATGTCGAGGGCAGAGGAGAGGGAGAGGCCAAGATGTAGGGTGGACGAGAACAGGTTTCCCTTGAGGAGGCGTCCCACAGACCCCACTGAGACCAGTTTTCCCTCTCAGTAGGAAGACTGAAGTGATGGCCTCCAGCATGCGCAGCTGCCAGGTGGAGGCTGTTTTCCACCTTCTGCACAGGCGGGACTCCAGGATGTCCCTCTCCCTTCACTACCCTTGTGTTGAGTCTTGCCACTGGCAGGTGTTTTCCTTGGCAGCAGCCCCAGGAGCTGCAGTTCAGGACTCGGCCGTGTGAGGGCAGCATGGAGCCAGACACCTCTCTCTTACTGGGACTTGCGGGTGTCACGCAGGGCTGAGGCTCAGGCTGGGCAGGGCGTTTCCTGCCAGCTTTTTTTTTTTTTTTTTTTTTTTTTTTTTTTTCCCTCCCGGGGCCCCTGGGGGTTGGGGCAGGCCC